TGAAGCCCGTTCCTCATTTTTGCACGGATGGGTCATACTGTTGATCTTTGTCTGAAGGCTCTCTGCCTGACCCAGGGCGTGTGGCGATGCAGCTGGTTCCGCACGCTGCTCCGATAGCCCTCCAGACTCGTGTATGTAGTGGCTTTGGGGGTCACAGAATTGCCTGCGCGCGCGCGCACACACACACACACACACACACACACACACACACACACACACTCCACGCTGTCTGCAAGGAAAAACGTTTTTGCCTCTTCCTTTCCAACCTGGGTGCCTTTCTTTCCTTTTCTTGCCTGGCTGCCTGGCTGGGAGTCCAGTGCAGCACTGAGGAGCAGTGGCGAGAGCACGTGTCCTGCCTTCTTCCTGATCTTTGGGCCCCACCCCCTCGCTCAGCCCCAGCAGGTGCTGCCCTCAGCTTATTGTGTCCTTTGTCAGGTCGAGCATGGTTCCTCCTCTTCCTGGTTTGTTGGGAGTTTTTAATTTCAGGATGTAATTTTCCCTGTAGGAAGCTAGAAAAAGCTGCACAAATTAAACCTAAAAACAACAGAATTACATTGATTTTCAGCTGTTAAACCAACTCTGCTTAGTCATGATGTGCCATCATTTTTTATATATTGTTGGGTGTGATGTGCTAACATTTTAATTTATTTAGAATTAAGGATTTTTTAGGCTTTTACTGTCTTCTTCTCTCGTGTGCTTTGGGTGGGGCTGGTGGGCGCTGGTAATTTGTCCCCGTCACCCTTGCGCGCTCTCTGATCAGTCTGTCTAGAATTTATCAGTTTCATTGATTTGTTTTCAGAGAACTGTCTTTGGCTTTGCCTGTTTTCTCCACTTTTTCCCTCATTGATCTCTGTTCCTGCCTCTGACTCAGGATAATTTAAAACTGGCATTACATAAATTGGAGCCATTATTTTTGCAGAAAACAAATTGCTGTCCATAAGTCCTGTTTGTATTTTCCTTAGTAAAGGTATTTTACAAGCTTGGTATTGAGTAAACTCATAGCACTGACCTGACGTGTGTTTCCTTAATTTTCAGGAGGGTTTGCATTTGTGTACGAAGCTCAAGACCTGGGAAGCGGCCGAGAGTACGCGCTGAAGGTAACGGCGGCCGGATGCGCTGTCATCGGGTTCCGGGTTTATTTGAAAGGAAGTCTCAAAGTGACAGTGTTTTGAGGGTTTTATCCCTGTTACTTTGTTGGTTTCTTTTTTCCAGTCTGTGTGTCCTCTTGTCTCTTCTGATGGGTGAGAAGCCATCAGCATTTTTAGAGGACTTTAAAGCTGTGGTTTCCAACTTTGGGGTGAGGACTAGGCGGGCTGCCTGGGGAGAAAGTGACCTTACGGTGCTGAAACTGTACAGTAAAGGCCCCACAAATGGCAGAGGTTTAAAAGTCACTCGTGTAAAGTACGGGTCCACAGTATACCCATTAATAGGCGGTCACGGTGGGACAGCGGGAGGGGGCATCTGGGACACCTGGGTGCTGGCCTGAGAGCTTCCGGGCTTGTCTGGGGGTGGCGGGACGACTGGCCTTGGCGTGTGGCTGAGCTGCAAGTTGCCCACTGGGACAGGACGTGGCCCTCCTTTCTGCAGCGTCTTCTCTCTTTTTCTTTCATTGTCTTATTTTACTCCAGCCTGTTTGGAGAAAGGCTCTTACTTTTAGTTTTTCTTGTGTCCTTGGATCATCAAGGACCATTTACCAGGCGTCTTTAACCTTCTGTCAAGTCTTTACACAGGTCAGATGTTAACATACGGTTGCGTTTATTCCCCCGGACGTGCCGTAGTGACGAGAGGTTCTGACCTCATGTGTGTCCTCTTTCCTGATGCAGAGACTGCTATCCAGTGAGGAGGAGAAGAGCAGAGCCATCATTCAGGAAGTTTGTTTCATGGTATCCTTTTCCCGGACGGAGCTGTAGGGAGGCCGGCATCAGGCTTTGGCCGCCAGTTGCCCTGCGAGCTTCTTTCTAATGTGCTAGAATTGGCCTCTTGCTTTTCCTGAACTCATCTGCACACCACTTCTTTTTTTTTTTAAGCTGAGCCATCCTGCTACCTGTTGGCAGCTCAGCGGCTGCTCAGCTCGGGCTGGACTCGAACTGCTGTTGCTCAGAGCTCAA